GCAAAATTCTGTAGTAGAAAAGAAACATCAACATTTGTTAAATGTTGCTCGGGCACTGTTCTTTCAATCAAGAATTCCTATTCGCTATTGGTCTGAATGCATCTTGACGACTGCTTACCTAATCAATAGAATCTCTTCCCACATTCTTAAACATCACACTCCTTATGAAATTCTTCATGGCAAGCCTGCAGATTACTCAAACCTTCGTGTGTTTGGATGTTTGACTTTTGCTACCACTCTTACTGCACATAGAAATAAATTCCAGCCTCGTGCCAGATTGTGTGTGTTTCTGGGTTATCCTTCTGGAATGAAGGGGTTCAAGTTACTCGATGTAGCTTCAAAACAGGTTTTTGTCTCAAGGGATGTTGTTTTCCATGAAGAAACATTTCCCTTTCATACAGTCATTCACTCAGAACACATGCTTGATCCCTTCCCTAACTTAGTACAGCCATCTTCCACCCTGTCTATACCTAGATGTACCAGTACAATTAAGTCATGATCAACAAGAAACTAGTTTCCCTGAGGTTGACCTCTCTTCTTCTCACCATGAGGCACATCACTCTACTGATGTTACCTCTTCTTCCACTAATGAAGCAAATAACCCTGATTTATCTGGTCAATTAGACCCTTCAAGATCATCTGATATTACCATTCGAAAATCTACCAGAACACTCAGACCTCCAAAATACCTCCATGACTATCATTGTAATCTGCTGTCTCATGACAATCAGGTTTTGCTACATCCTTCCTATCACATAGCCAATTTTATCTTATACAAAAATCTGTCAAATTCTCATCAACATTTTGCTTTATCCATTTCTTCTCAAATTGAACCACAGTTCTTTCATCAGGCTGCAAAATTTCTTCATTGGTGTGAAGCCATGAAACTTGAGTTAAAAGCCATGGAAGATAATCATACATGGTCTCTTGTGAAATTGCCACCGGATAAGCACACTGTGGGATGTAAGTGGATATATAAGAATAAGTTCAGATCTGATGGCTCACTTGAACGACATAAGGCGCGGTTAGTTGCGAAGGGATACACCCAACAAGAAGGACTCGACTATTTTGATACATTCTCGCATGTTGCAAGGGCAGTCACAGTTAAGTTGATGCTCACCCTTGCAGCTCACTATGATTGGCATTTAATACAGTTAGATGTGAATAATGCTTTTTTGAATGGGGATTTATTTGAAGAAGTGTACATGGATCTACCACTTGGTTATAAATTGCTTAGGCCTTCGAGTCAGGGGGAGAAATTGGTGTGCAGGCTGCACAAATCCATATATGGCCTAAAGCAGGTCTCGAGACAATGGAATTCAAAGTTTACTCACTCTCTGTTAAAGCATGGTTTTACACAGTCAAAGGGAGATTATTCCCTCTTCACAAAGGGATCAGGGTTGGCATTTGTGGCTCTATTGGTCTATGTTGACTATATAGTGATAACAGGTCCAAATATTGAAGCAATTAATGCTTTAAAATCATTTTTGGAATCTCAGTTCAAACTCAAGGATCAGGGAATATTGAAGTACTTTTTGGGTATTGAAGTGGCAAGATCTTCATCTGGAATTGTAATATCACAGCGACAGTATACCTTACAACTACTTGAAGATGCTCATTACTTGGATTGCAAATCGGTAAATAGCCCTATGGATCCTAAGCTTGCTCTCATTAGACCCGAAAGAGATTTATTACCAGATGCATCTCATTATAGAAGATTAATTGGAAGACTTCTGCACTTAACTCTGTCGCGTCCTGATATAACTTTTACTATCCACAAGTTGAGTCAATTTGTTTCTCAACCAAGAATGACACACCTAAAGGCAGTTCACCATTTGCTGCGATACTTAAAAGGCCATCCTGGACAGGTCTTTTCTTCCCATCACATATCAGCTCAAATGCAATCATCAACATTAAAGCCTTCTCTGATGCTGATTGGGGATCTTGTGTTGACACCAGAAAGTCCACCACTGGTTTTTGTGTTTTTGTTGGTGATTCAATGGTTTCATGGAAGTCCAAGAAGCAACCCACTATCTCTCGTTCTTCAGCGAAGGCAGAGTACAGAGCTCTAGCTTCGACCGTGAGTGAAGTCATATGGATCAACCAGTTGTTAAATGATTTTCAGATTGGCACATCAGCTCCAGCTACAATCTATTGTGATAATCAGGCGGCCATTCAAATTGCCACCAACCCTGTTTTCCACGAAAGAACGAATCATATAAAGGTGGATTGTCACTTCATCCGTGACAAGATCTGGTATTGTGAAGCTCCTCCCAGTTCGATCGAAGCATCAGCTTGCTGAGCTCTTTACGAAGCCTTTACCTCCATCTAATCTTGCCCTTTTACTATCCAAGATGTGTGTTAAGGATATTTATGCACATCTTGAGGAGGAGTATTAGAATCACTTCTTTGCTGATTTGCTTACTGTTATTAGGTAGTTAGGCTTTGTTTGGCTGTCATTACTTACCTTACTTACTGGTAATTAGTTAATGCCAACTGTCCTCTTCTTCCCGCCATTTTTCTATTTTCTCATCTATATAGTCTTTGGCTATTGTATTGATTCAGTAATAATAAGAAATCATTTTCTTCCAAGCTCGTTCTCCTTCTCGATTTCAATAACTTTAGTATACTTCTCTTTTACACCTACAATTCTCAAAATGGAGAATTACCAATACTCTACCATAAAGAGTATATACACACTTAGAATCAAAATATTCTAAGAACTTGAAATCAACTCATATCGAACAATCTTGCTGAAATTTTTTTTGTGCAACCACCATATTTGACTTTTTCGAGAGTTTATAGTCATTAACATAAACTCCACCACACGCCCTATATGAAGGTCAAATCCATTCCCAAGTCCAAATTTGTAGTCTCGTTGACAATAACACATCTTCTATCATGATAAATTGTTACACAACGACAAACCATAAGAATGAACATATGCTTCTCCAAAGATATATGTGTCTCTCATCAAGAAGAGAGGAACATTGTTAGCTACGTAATCGGTATCTCCATACTAATTTTGAGCAATTAGTAAGTGACATTTAAAAATAACGAAAAATAATGTTTACTTTTAGTATTGGGGTTCATTATATGAATCTCTTTTCATCGTCCTATATGTTTATTGTCACACTTAATGAATCATGTTGAGCTCGTTTTTTGAAATATAGACGTGGACAAGAGATATCGGGCCCACTCGCATTCTCTCAAGTTAATTCAAACACGCGTGGAACAATTGCTAATCGACAATAAAATAGGGTTTGGACGTGGGAGAAGTTTTATAGCATGAAACAAAAATGTTTGTGCTCTGGCGAAATAGATGAGATAAATTACACGATGAATGACCAACTTGGAGCCAAATTCAAAATCCGATCTTTTGACTTTAGGATTTCTGTAGCAGCTTCTGGTGATGATCCAACAATCATACACTGAGTTCCTAGTTTTAGAGACATTATAGGACCATGGATTTTGGCCAAGTTTGTTAGACTAACATGAGGCATTAGTCCTATGTGTGGAATGTTGCCTAAAATTGGCCATGGATTTGGCCCTGGTGGGAGTTTTAGGCTATTTTAGACGCAAAACAAGATTTTAAGTTCTTGGTTATGAATATAAGTATAGGCAAAAAGAGGGCTAGAAGAAGAAAACAAGTCTCTTTTCCTTCAAGAAACTGAGCCATGAGGCTTGAACTTTGGGGTGGGTGAGGTTATGTTTGCTGGAAATCATATGCATTTTGGGGTTGGGGTGGGAAGTTTTATGTATATTTCACTTTCTCAATTCTCCTAATGCAACATTATTAAAATTTAAAATTAAGTTTACTTTGTATCTTATGGTTTGTTCATATCTGCAAGGATTCAACTAAACTTCTGCAGGCTGATTATTTTGAATTATACAAGTATTATACTTAATTATGTGATGTATAATTATAATGATAATTAAGTATTATACTTAATATAAAACTTCTGTATGAGTAAGGGATAGGTAATTATGTGATAGAGGAAAGAAAAAGAAAGTGACAAATTGCAATGGCAATAAATTAAGCCCCTGTTTGAGCCACATAACAAGCATATAAATAAAAAGTATGTTATTTTAAATTCTTCAAGAAACGACGACTTTACATGCATTCATGAATTTCTAAATTCTCAATGGACCTGTCTCCAAGTCTTTTCGAGTTAAGAGTTAGAAAAGGTTTGCTGGACATTTGGTGCACAGAATACACTTCAAGAAACATGCCAGGGTATTGAGGGAAAAAAAAGTGTCGGCTAGAACATACAGTTTTAAAGAAAAGGTAGTTAAAATTTTGCAGCTCGAGTCACTTCGCCCTCAATTAGACTTTATTGAAAGAGCATATCGAGTCGAGTGCACGGCATAATATACATAGAATTCCCAAGACCATGAAAGAGGAAGCCCGTCTCGTATGCTCTTCCTGAGAAGTCTTCGATGATTGCTTCTTAGGTATATAAGACATATAATAGGTGTATAAAGCATACAATAAGATAAAACCAAAATAAAAGGTCCTAGAAACATGAATGCGACCTTATTAACGTGAAGATGATAAATGAAGACAAAATCGTTTACTTCCTCTTCATTCTTAAGTTCCATTGATCCACAAAATCATTTTCTTGCCTCCAAAAAATGTTAACCAAGAAATCAAAGCAGGTCTGTTTTGAACATGTTGATCTAAAAGTTTAAACTGTTAGATAAGACCAAACATACATATCATCATGCCCCCTAGGCATGTTTATTTATTTTCCATCAAAGCCTTACATGTTCACGATTTCATTTAAATGGATGGTAATGAAACCTACAAGATGAGATTTGAAGTCAGGACTTTTTTTTGTTATGATACCAGGTAGAACCAGTTATATCAAAGCTTAAAATGTTATATAGAGTCAAATGTATATCATTTAATTATTGTCTTCAACAATCTCTAATATAATATTTCAAGGAATGTTACAATACTGCATTCCTTAAACGTGATATTGTCCCACCAATTCCGATTATTGCGTGCAGAAGAATTTTAGGCGAATAGCTTTCCAGAATACAGTAAAGCCTAAAGTAGTTCTTATTAACCGACTGCTCGTGGTAATCATTTTCTGGCCTTTGGAACCAGCGCCAATGGATTTTCCATCTGTATAGTTACACCAAATTTCTCATTCATGCTTAGCTCTTTTGGATCGTTTCCATGTGGAAGAGACCAGTCGAAAAAATAGATCAAAGAGGCAAGAATCAAGGGAACAGTCTTTGCAGCCATGGGAAGGCCAGGGCACATCCTCCTTCCTGCGCCAAATGGTAAGAATTCAAAGTCGTTTCCTTTAAAATCCAAACTTGAGGTAAGAAATCTCTCCGGTCTGAACTCAAGTGGCTTGTCCCATACAGATGGATCGCGCCCAATACCCCAAACATTTACGACTACTTGAGTATTTTTCGGTACTGTGTAATTCATTACTTGGCAGGTTTCAATAGCCCTGTGAGGAATCAGGAAAGGCGCAGGAGGATGCAGCCTCAGTGTTTCTTTAGTACACGCTTCAAGATATGGTAGTTGCATTAAATGGGAATTATTCGGGAAATCTTTATTGATTTCAGTGTCAATCTCACGAAGGACATTCTTCATGGCTTCAGGATTTTTCAACAGTTCTGCCATTGTCCATTCAACGGTCGAGGTAGTTGTCTCTGTGCCAGCAGTGAATAACTCCTGTAACACAGTAAGTGGACAGTTTCGTGTTAGAACTGTCCTTGTGGTGACAAAAAAAACTTATCTTGATATATAATATTAGATCGAAATAAACCTTTTAAGTTTTTTTTTCCTTATTGCCTAATTCACATTACATAACAGAACGAGTTTTCTGAAGCAGCTGATCCGTCGAATGATGATGTAAATACATGGCTTTTTACAGAAAACAGAATTTTGTTCTTGAATGGCTGCATTTTCTTTCTTTCAAAAACAGCAGATGGTGAAAGTTTATAGCAATGAATGAGAAAACTCAACAAATGCTTGAGAACATTAGTTTGTGAAAAAATAAGTTCTGAATCTAACATATCCCAATTGTTTGTTAGCATGACCCCACTAGTTCAACTAACAGCCTAGTACGAACATAGACCTGTAATCTAAGATTATAAAATGGTGCACAATTTTCATAAGTGGGTGGCAATGAATATTTGCTTGCTCTGATAGGATGTTGAACTACCTTGTCTAAAAGAAGAAGGGACAAAGCTTACCAAAAACAACTGGTTGATCTGATTATAAGAAAAACCGTTGTCAAGAAGGGTGTCCAAGAAATCTTGACTTGTCGAAGACTTATTCCTCCCGTTTCGTCTTTCTTCAATGATCGCTTCCCACACAGCACGAATTTTCACAATCAAAACAGCCAACTTCCTGCGAATACCTTGAAGATCTAGCTTGCTGAGAATTGGATAGAAATCAGATAAATTTGGAGCAGCTAGTACCTCCACATAAGCCCTTATGATGCCTTTCATCCCTCCATCTGCGTTCTTTTCCTCAAATTCAATAAAGTCTCTCGACATCATAGAATTCCCCAAAATATTGAACACAGTTGCAAAAACTAGTTCAGCAATTTTGACCTCCTCACCTTCCTTTGATCCTACAAAATTGATAAGGCCAGTTATACTTTTCTCTCGCAATCTGGCTTGAGACTCTAAAGCCTTGTTCGAGAAAAGTTCAGCACGACATAATGTACGTAAAGACTTCCAATTATCATTGCAATCTGCCCATCCAAGGGACAAATGATTAAGTTCTTCCTTTGTAGCTGGAAGAGCCTTTGGAATACATCGGCTTGAAAAATTCCGGTCCTTCGACTTTAGGATTTCTTTTGCAGCTTCTGCTGATGATCCAACAATCATACACTGAGTTCCTAGTTTTAGAGACATTATAGGACCATAGATTTTGGCTAAGTTAGTTAGACTAACATGAGGCATATGTCCTATGTGTGGAATGTTGCCTAAAATTGGCCATGGATTTGGCCCTGGTGGAAGTTTTGGGCTGTTTCTTGACACAAAATAAGATCTTAAGTTCTTGATTATGATAAAAAGTATAGGCAAGAAGAGGGCTGGAAGAAGAAAATAAGTCCCTTTGGTTTCAAGAAATTTAGCCATGAGATTGGAAGTTCCTTTGCAGGAATATCAAGTTTTTTTGCTCCAATCTTCCTTTGAAGGATGCATTTGTAGCGTCGAGGCAAACTTAGGCGGCTAGGACTTTCACTCTCAAATGGTTTCCGGTCAAGTTACGACACCGAAAATGACTTGCGTGGGGTGGAATGGAATAGGTGCGGTGGCGTGGGTGTTCTGTGTCTATTTGACAATACTAAAGCTAATTTGACTTTGTAGTAATGTTTTGTACATATTTGCTAGAAATCAACTAAAACTGCCGCAGAAGTCGTACTCAAAACTTGTTTCTATGGGGTGACATAAGCTATTTCTAGTATTTGGAATCCCTACAAGTGTGAGTCCCTTTTCGTCTTGTGTGTACCCGTTCATTTAACGTATAGTCCATATTTCATGTAAACTAAAAATTTATGTCAAAATTAACAGTTAATTTTGTTCATACATTTCATGACAATCATAATTTTTATTAACTTTTCAACTATATATTTCATCATTTTTTATCAGAATCTAGTAAAAATATGATATTTAATACACTAAACAGTGGCCTAGTAAATCAATGAAACGCCTACACAAGTAGGTGATAATTCTAAAATACTTCATGATCTATACACAGTAGAGGAAATATTAGGAGTACATACAAACAACAAAGGCAAAAATAAGCCTTATTTTCAAGTCGATTATATCAATCTATTTTCGTCATCATATTTTGTTCATTGCTAAAATAGTGATTTAAAGCAATTAAACTAGAAATTAATACATATTTTGTTTGTTTTAGTCTACCGTCAACCCTTCATCGTGCTTGATTCATGAATATAAAACTTTTTAAGTCTGTAGGATATGAATCAACGATACATTTGAGATAAAAATAAGGAAAAAAAAAATACATAACTACAAAGATTTCAAAATACACTTTCAAAAATAAAAAATAAAAACTTCTGAAAAAATTTCAAAAATCAGGTGACCACGTAATAACAATTTTGTGACAATTGTTTAAGTCAAGATTATAATAACACACAATTTATGGTCACAATCACATACTAATCACAAATGTTATAAGTTGAAGTCACAATGACTAATTATAGGTCAAAATTAGAAATTTAGTCGTATATCATACATTTGTTTAGGTCACATATTATTGGTTATAAATTACCCATTTTATTAGTCATAATTATCCAAATAATTGCTCACAAACATTCACCATCCCACTACACTCCACCACCATCGACACTACCCAAATGACACAGCCATCTCACTATCACCACCACCGCTTGCACCAACCTCCACCATCAGCTCTGCCTAGAACCAACCACCACCACCACCACCTTCAACCCGTTACCATTATCCTCCATCACGAGTACACAGACCACCACAAATATAGCGCCGCCACCACCACTACTATCACCTCCACCATACCACCACAACATTGCACCGCCACCACCTCCTCCACTTGCACCTTATCTATAATCACCGAAGACTGTCAATTTGTAGCCTACGACGATCGCCACTTCGAGTCCCCAAATCACCACTAGATTTGTAGCCATTCAACAACCAGAGGTGGGCGAATTGGAGACCTAGACACTTGGATTATAATGTGAATCGAAGAGAGCTTTGAGATAAGGTACGAAATGAAGAACCTAGCGACGGTGCTTCGAGCGGAATGAATGACCTTGCAGCGACGACCATGGTGATGCAAGTGAGACGGTGAGTACAAATCTTGTGTTCCGATCTACTTGTAGTTGAGAGATGGAAAGGTAGTGGCTAGTTTATCGTGACGGTGGTCGAAGTTAGGGAGTGTCAGCCAGAGAGTGAACGGTGGATATAAAAGAACAGATAGAAAGGTGGTAGAAAGAATGTGGCTCACAATTAGGGTGTCAACGAGCCAAGTCGAGCCGAGCCCGAACCGAAACTTCGAGCCCGAGCAAAAATGGTTCGGGCTTTTTTTGCCCGGCCAAGCCAAGCAAAAGCTCGACTAAAAAATTGAGACTAGACCTGCTCTTTCGGCTTGGGTCGAGCATGCTCGATTATATTTTTCCTTGACAAATCCGATATAACCCTCCTCCTTTATTCAGGTTTCAGACCGGCTACAATCATCGTAAGCAAAGTTAAAATTGTACACGAATAAAATATTTCGTGTACAATTTGAGTAAAGAAATTGGAGATTGATTGAAGTAAATTGATATGAAGTAGTAAAAATGTTTCGCGTATTTATAGCAAAAAAATGTATATGTTTCAACTACATTTAAATTTCAAATTCAAATTTTGAAAAATTGAGAAATTTACGTTATCTGCCTTGTCAAAAGCAGTTGATAAGGCAGCTAGCTGCCTGCTGGCAGCAGTAATAGCTGTTTGTGTTGCATGCAGCTGTGTTTAATTTTATTTTTTAATGAAGCTCGCTCGGCTCTACTCGGCTTGGCTCTTTCAGACCGAAAATTGCCCGTGACACTGGCGGTACGGGCTCGAGCAGATGTCCCAAAATGGAGCTCTGCCAGAGTGAGGCTCGGGCTTTTCCCGGGCAGAGCCATGAGCCGTCCGAGACGTTTTGACATCCCTAATCACAATTTTGTTTGTACGTGGTGGGGTGGGCGATCTAGCCAAACAACATTCTCGAAAAGAGAGCTTGTTTCGTGAGGGCATTAGTTGAACTATAACTAATAAAACTACACCCTCCTGTCTTTCGAAACATGGTGGCACAATATGGAATGGGGATGATTAAGCTTCTGATTTAAATTTTTTTTTTTTTTTCTCTTTATTTTATTGTTATTTAATTTAAAACTTAGGTAGTCTCCCTACACTATGCTTTGTTTGGGCCTTGTTTCAAGAGTTCTTTACGAGATAGGTCAACCCTCTTATTCAAGTGATGTTTCACATCATTCTCTTCTCGTGAAGTGATTTGAACATGAGACATCTAGCTCTGATACCAATTCGGGTAGGTATATTACTAATTCTTTCAAAGGTTATAGTTAAAAGAAGATGTGCAATCAAGTCCATAAGAATTGAGGATCATGTCCGGGATACCCCAAGCATTATTCTTTTAAGCCTACTGTAAGTACACAAGGAATGTTCGAGTGATGTTCCACGTCTACTGTAAGTGGAATTCAGATTAACTAAAGTAGAATTCCTCAATTTTCCATAGTATCCTTGTCCAGAGAATTTGTTTAGAAGCAAAAAAGATGGAGAAAACAACACAAATATTTACGTGGAAAACTTCCAAATAAATAAAAAAAAGACTATCAAAGACAAAGATATTCTACCGTATGAAAATTTTATACAGGCATAGAATCTTATTCAATGTGGAATAGACAAATAAAATCTTTCCATAATTGGACAATACCAAGTAAAATCCCTACAATCGCCACCTTAACTTTGAATTGTTCAATGATCTTTCATGTTTCATCCCAGATGAACAATGTAACTTCACGACGGTCACATCTCTTTCACCTTCTTAGTCATGCTACTTGGAAAACTTTTATTAGAATCACTTCTTTGCTGATTTGCTTACTGTTATTAGGTAGTTAGGCTTTGTTTGGCTGTCATTACTTACCTTACTTACTGGTAATTAGTTAATGCCAGCTGTCCTCTTCTTCCCGCCATTTTTCTAGTTTTCTCATCTATATAGTCTTTGGCTATTGTATTGATTCAGTAATAATAAGAAATCATTTTCTTCCAAGCCCGTTCTCCTTCTCGATTTCAATATGGTATCAGAGCGATTGCTGCTCAACTCTGAACCTCGAAATTAATTCCTTCCAATTTCATTTTCTACTGGTATGGATCCAGTGAATAATCAAATCAATGCCCATGGGCAATCAGCTGTGAATAAAGCTGCCATTGATGAACCATCTAGTCCATTTTTCCTCCATCATTCGGACAATCCTGGATTGGTACTAGTTTCGCAACTACTGACAGGAGAAAACTACCCATCATGGAGTCGTGCGATGATAATCGTCCTTTCAGTGAAGAATAAGATCTCTTTTATTGATGGATCTTTGGAAAAGCCTGATGAATTGAATCCAGAATTAGTTAATTCGTGGATTAGGAACAACAATATTGTTATGTCGTGGATATTGAATTCTGTCTCATAGGAAATCTCGGCCAGCATCATCTATGCTTCTACAGCCCATGAGATCTGCAATGATCTCAAAGAGAGGTTCCAACAAAGCAATGGACCTCGAATTTTCCAATTGAGAAAGGAGCTGATGAATTTAACTCAGGATCAAACTTCAATCAGTGTTTATTTCACTAAATTGAAGACCGTATGGGAGGAATAGGTCAATTTCAGACCTAGCTGCAATTGTGGAAATTGCACCTATGGAGGAGTCAAAGAGATGAACAATTATCATCAGATGGAGTATATCATGTCGTTCCTCATGGGATTAAATGAGTCTTTTTCTCAAGCAAGGGGGCAAGTCCTTCTTATGGAGCCTATGCCACCGGTGAATAAGGTATTTGCACTTATGGTGCAAGAGGAAAATCAGAAGAAAATAAAGGCACAGAGTTTAGATGAAAATTCTAGTGGAGCTGCTGCAACGTTCTCTATCAGGTCTGATAATGCTAAACCATTGATGAATTATAATTCTAGGTATGGGGGGTCCAGATTTGGGAATGTGACTAACTTTAGAAGAAAGGATAAACCGTATTGCACTCACTGCAAGTTTCATGGCCATTCTGTTGATAAGTGCTATAAAATACATGGATATCCTCTTGGATTCAAACCAAGAGTTAGGGAGAATGGTCAAGGATATTCTTCAAATACTCATGTCAATCAAATGTCTATCAATCAGCATATGGATCATCAGCCTACAGCAGGGGATTTTTCGCAAAATCTGAACACATCTCAGTATCAGCAACTGATAAGCATGGTGTCCAACTTAGCACAGACCTCAAGCACTAAATCCACTGAGAACGAGAAACAACAAGCTACTACAGGTACTGCAGGTATTTGTCACTCAATATCTGTTGACCCTGTTTTTGCCTCTAAAGAAATTTGGATAGTA